TAAAATACCTAAAACATTAAGTATGCACTGAAAATTATTTACCAAAAACTGAAGTAAATGAAAAACATTCCTTTTGGGAACAGTTTCTTATAGTAGAAGGCTTACAATGCAGTTAAAATGCGCAGAAGAGTAGTTATCACAGGGGCTTTATAAGGTACTACTTGAAAATTTCCTGTTTGAAGATCGAGCTCTGGTTTTCTCCTAAGAAAAATTTAATTATGCTCATTTTATATTTTACTTTGTAAGTTAAGCTTCTGCTTGGTAGCTAATGATCTCATTTTCCTCTTTTGGATAGTCATTGCTAACTCTTAGAAAATACTGTTTATTTCAAAGGGAAATAATGTTGAAAGGATGTGAAACATTTAATCTTTGAATGCTAGAACCACTTTTAAAGGATTATAAGCACATCTATATTTTATCACACAGGAAAAAGAATGTATGAATTCAGGGTAGCTCATTTAGAACAACTGAGTATTTTGCATTTCAAGTTTCTCCTCAAAATACAGAATATTCTGTGATTCTTAAAATGAATAATTTAATTCCGGGGTGGGGCATGTGGTCAGGGAAGCAAAAGTGAAGTTTTGGTTTTACAGTTGTGCTCTCACTTTATCACCTACTGCTTAAAAAGAAATCAGTTTTTATAGTGGGCTTGGCTTTGCATTTTGTGAAACACTTTTATTTTCCCTGATTTGAAAGCTGTTGCATGGGGCAAACTTAGAACCTGATGAAATTACTACACCAGACTTCTTGAGCTGGAAGTCTCATTCAGCTGTGAGTTATGTCCCAGATAATTTAATTAGGAAATTAACTAATACACTAAAAAATACCAAAGTTTGTGAATGATACATTCTTAACATGACAGCAAATTCCAGTACACCCTGATGGTAACCTCACTTTGAATCACTTGTAGCAGGAGGGAAGAGGATGGAATTACAGCTGGGGGCTGAGGGCGGAATGCTCTGGGCTGTGCGTTTTGCATGTGAATATCATCTGTCATTAGTGAAGATGGGAGAAAAAGCTGGAGACCTTCTGCACTGCCCTGGTGGATGTATTCTCAATTTTTTCCTCTTTGACCTGAAATGATATTCACTTGCCCGCATATTCCCTAAATGCTGTCGCTAGTGAGCTAGCTAAAGTTTTCCACCCCTTTTTCTCTCACCTCAAAAAACAAGCAAAAGAGAATGTTCTGAGGATGCATCCGTAGTCAGCTCTTTCTGGAAACTATTGCTTCTCGGCCTTTTGGCTAAGATCAAGTGTGCAAATTTCTGGAAACTAGTTGTAATTAGAATTGACTTTTTACACAAGTATTTTGTAGCCAGTTATTTTTCTGCTTTATGTTACTACGAATTATTCACTATAGCATGTTTTGTTTTTCTTTTAAGGCTCAAGGTAAATATATTTGAGAAATTTGAATTTTCAGCTAGCCATTCTTTTTTTCTAGCCTTTCTTTTATCTAAGAAGAATAAGCCTCTTTGTCTACTTGCCCTGCAATGGAAACCCACTCGCTGGCTGTGGCTAACGTATCTTGCTCTTACTCAGTAAACCTACCTTTTTATTCCACAATAAACTTTGTTCCATGCTGACCTTAAAAAAAAAAAGAAAGAAAGAAAAATAACACATTAAATCAAGATCTTATGTAAAAGTGTTTTTTGGTTTTTTTGAGGCAAGGACTTACTATATTATAGTCTAGGCTAGTCTCGAATTCCTGGGCTCAAGTGACTGTCCTGCCTCGGCCTTCCATGTAGTTTGGAGTATAGGCATGCATCACCTGGCCCTATATGAAAATGTTACCTGCTCTATAAGTGCACAAGATATTTGAACAGAAACTTCTCCGAGGATGACAGACAGATGGCCAATAATCACATAAAAAAATGCTCATTGTCTTTAAGCATTAGAGAAATGTAAATCAAAACCACTCTAAGATTTCATCTAACCCCAGCAAGATTAGCCCACATGGCAGAGTCCCAAAACACTAGATGCTGGCATGGATGTGGAGAGAAGGGAACACTTCTGCACTGCTGGTGGGATTGCAAACTAATGTAGCCTTTTTGGAGAGAAGTATGGACAATCCTCAAAGATCTAAAAGTAAACTTTCCATTTGACCCTGCAATCCCATTACTAGGTATCTACCTAAAATAACAAAAATCATTTTATCACAAAGACATTTGCACTAGAATGTTTATTGCAGCTCAATTTTTTTTTTTTTTTTTTTTTTGGTATATAAAACCACACAGCTATGATTTAATAAAAAAAAGAAAGAGAGTAGGGGAAAGGACATTTGCCTCCGGGGAAGGGGCAGTGCCACTGCTCTTGGTAGATACAGAGCTCTCACGAGAGGCTCCACCCTCTCACAGTGCTATAAAGGCGGCCGTGATTCGATTCATTGCAACTATGGCCGCGCTGGCGAACTTGGCTCAATGCTGAAGCGGCTGCTGAAAGAGGAAGACATGACCAAGGTGGAATTCGAAACCAGTGAGGAGGTTTTGAAAAGCCCTCAGCAATCCAACAGCGAGTTATCCAGCAAGGGAGGGACAGCATCGCATAGCATCTGCGCAGCCTTCCCAGACACTCTTCTGGAGGAGGGACTTCTGAGCAGTTCAGTAATTATCTTACTGTAACCAGCTGCCGGGTGGAAGGCCTACGTTCTCCGTGTAAACAGCAATCTTACAATCGACAGCCAGCCCGGAACCACAAGTGAGAGCTCCGCATTTTCGACAATCACTTCTGCCCTGGGGTTGGAATACTCGAGGCCCTTTGACAACGAACAAGACAGACAATTCTGGGGAGCCTGCTTCCGGTCCTGAGAATGGAGCACGGCCTACGCCCCGGGAGCTATCACTATATGGATTGAAATCGAGTCCACGGATGTGATTCGTCTTATCATGCCGTACCTGGGGAAGTTAGCATTGTGCCTCCATCTGGTCTCATGGTGTTGCTGTGACAGGCACTGAAGTGGCAGCCGCACCAGAAGTTGCTTCCTCCTGGTATGACTATAGATTTGTTTCAAGGTAAAGCAGTTGTCAAAGATGTGGAAGAGAAAAAGTTTCCTACACAGCTGAGCAGACATACTAAGTTTGGTCAGAAATCACATGTGGAGTGTGCTTGATCTTCTCCAGATGGTCAATATCTGGTCATTGGGTCTGTTGATGGATTCACTGAAGTGTGGAACTTTACAACTGGAAAAATCAGGAAGTATGTTAAGTACCAGGCCCAGGATAACTTCATGATGATGGATGATGCTGTCTTCTGTCTAAGCTTTTCTAAGGATAGCAGTCAGATCCTTAGTGCTTCTTTTGACCAGACAATTAGACTTCATCGTTTAAAATCTGGAAAAACCCTGAAGGAATTTTGTGGCCATTCATCTTTTGTTAACGAAGCGACATTTACACAAGATGGACATTATATCATTAGTGCATCTTCTGATGGCACTGTGAAGATAGTCCTTGGGGCTGGGCAGTCCAAAGTCAAGGGGCTGTGTCTGGTGAGGACATTTTTGTTAGTTGCAGCTCAATTCATAATTGCCAAGTTATGGAAGCAACCTAAGTGCCCATCAACCAATGAATGGATCAACAAACTGTGGTATATGGACACCGTGGAATATTATTCAGCCATCAAAAACAACGGAGACTTTACATCTTTTATGTTTACCTGGACGGAGTTGAAATACATAATCTTAGTAAAGTATCACAAGAATGGGAAAATAAATATCCAGTGTACTCCATCCTAAAATGAAATCAATATATAAACAATTACATGCTCATAAGAATAATCAGACACTAATATAGTCCAGTTTGGGGGTAGAGGTGAGCAGGCGGTGGGGGAGGGGGGACGACCACGACATTTGGCAGAAGGAGGGAAGGCCTGAGGTGGGATCTCACCTGCTGTGCACATTGTGAGGGTTATAACATGCCCTGAGGGGCCCTTTCACAAATGGAACTTTTACCCTAGAAGTGAGAACAATGTAACCTAAAAATTGTACCACCATTTATTTGAAAAAATAAAAAAAAATCCCCCCCCCCCCAAATAAAGAGACACCACTTCACACTCACAAGGAGCCAAGGATCTGGAGAAATGAAAATGCCACATTCTCCCAGTGGACGGTAAAGTGATGTGGTTGCTTTGGAATCTGACAGTTCTTCAAACAATTGAGTGTAGAATTACCATATGACCCAGCATTTCAACTCGTAGGCATATTAGCAAGAAAAATGAAAGTAGAGGTCTATACAAAAACTTCTACATGTAGAATTATTATAGCAGCATTATTCATAATAGCCCTAAAATGGGAATAACCCAAATTGTCATCAGCTGACAAATGGATAAACAAAATATGGCACGTAAATACAATAAAATATTGCTTGGCCATTAAAAGGAAGGAAATACTGACAGTACACTACAACACTGATGAACCTTGAATCGTTATACTAAGTGAAATAGGCTAGTCACAAAAGTTCACACACTGCTTCCGCTCATGTGAAATTTTGGAACAGGGAAATCTATGGAGACAGAAAGTAACTGCTTGGGATTCAGGTTGCTTGAAGTTAGGGTATAAGGGGAAAAGGAGGTGATAACTAAAGGGTAGGAGGTTTCTTTTTAGTGTGAAAACAATGTTCTGGAATTGACTGCAGTAACGGTTACGTGTATCTGTAAATAAGAGAAAGCATTCAAACTAGACTTTGTAAATGGGTGATGCACATCCCAATAAAACTATTTAAAAAGTTAAAAAAAAAGTTTAACTATTTCTTACTTGATATGAAAACTGGTAACTTGTTCTAGAGCTCTCTTAATATCAAAATATTTTATATACTTTTGATTTAGTTTTGAAGGGACTATCTCTTACCTGTTTTTTTAGGTATTAAACTTATTGCAAGGAAATAACTACTGAAATACTGTCACCTTAAAATCATTTTTAATGTCAGGGACTCACATTTTTTTTTACTTAAGAGTAATTTTGAATATTGACTGTTTTTGTATTTTCTTTGTTTTGCTTTTTTGTTAACAAGATATTATGAACTAGATCCTGATAAAAGTCTCCTAGACAATTTGAGGAACAAAGTAATCATTGAGTACCCAACATTACATGTGGTCTTGAAAGGGTCTAGTAATGACTTGAAAGTTCTTCCCCAAGGTAAGTGTAAATTTCTTCCTACAATGCTTAGAGCAACTCTAGAGAAAGTGAAGCAAAATGTCATGACTCTAATTCATTATGTACATGTTTTCCTGCTATATTTACATGCTGGCAGAATTACCTATAGCTACAGTTAATGTCAAGAACCAAATGAGCTGCTGCTTCTACTCTGTTTGAGAGCTTGTAAGCTTATAAAACAATCAAATTAAATGGCTATAAAATCCTACTTTTTCATGTGGGATTCTGGGTATTTTTGTCTATTTCTTTCTGTGGGAAAATTAATACAGTGCATTTTTTTTTTTTCAAAATGGCCAAAACTTTGTCACTGCCAGAACTTAAGACTAGGTTTTAATTAGCAAGCATGAAGTTTCTAATAATAAATTATGAGCTTTTAAATCCTGTTCTTGTTCTTGACTTGGTGTTTTTCACTGTTTGAAAATATTTGATTTTGTTTTTTTAAAATAGGAATTTTAGTTTCAAATGTCCATTTTCACTTTTTTAAAGCTAGTAATACCTTACATTTCTCTTCAGTTCACACATTGCTCTAACGTTGGTTTCAGGGAAAGCTGTTTAGTAATGTGGGTTACCAGCGAGAGCCACCACTGGCTGTGTAGATAAACAAGCACACAGCTCTGCTTCACCTTGCTTAGGAATGCACGTGCAGGAAAGGCGTCCTGTAATGAAGCAGTAAGAAGAGACTACTTTGGCAGTTTACTTGGAACTTTATTAAGTAAAATTTGCTACATTTTTGGTTGGTATGTGGTATTTGACTTATTTACAGGAACACAGGGCTCATGCTTTTAGTACAGAGGATTATTTAGACCTGCTTCAGCAAAGAACTGAAGAGGATAAGACAAGATTTTAAGAACTGTACCAGTGCTGTCATATTATAAGGACACACACTTTCAAAATAATGCCAGGACCTCCTGTTCACGGATTTCTTTCTGTGAGCACGTGCTGATGGCTGCTTTGTACGTTCTCACAGCACGGGACATTCTGCAGGGTAGGCCTTTGACGAGGAGGGGGGAATTAGACAAGAGCGGGGCATTTGCTTTGGAAAGCTTTTAAAATTCCATCTTCAGAGGCAAAAAAGTTGGCTTTTGCTCCTGAGTCCAGTACAAGGTGTCTCTTTTCTAGTTTGGGGGTAAATGTGTTTCTGGGCTGAGATTCAGTAGTTTCCACACTTGGTGGTTGTTGTAATGTTTATTATGATTGAAGATTGCCATAATTTATTTTTTCAAAAGTCTGCTTTTATTAATCAGCAATAGACAAGATTTTTTGCTTTGCTTTTTTTTTTTTTTTTTTTTTTTTAAGGAATAAAAAGTAGTTGACTGTGAAAGGGTAAGGAGTTAAGATTGATTAGAGATGAAGCTCTTGGCAGGTGCTCAGAATGGTATAACTTGCTTCACAGACTCTTATTAGTCATATGTGGATGAGCATATTTATTTAAATGATTTGTTGAATGCAAGCTGCATTTCAGTCTAAGGAAAAGAATGGATCCCTATTCAAAGAAGAAAACTAGGTACCTTCAGTAGGCAAAGAAAGGGGAAAGTGTTCCCTACACTGCTATAAAGCCCCATTTATTTAAAAATAACAGCCAAATATATTTCTCTGATATTCTTAGTCAAGGTTGGAAGATGCCTGTCTTTATAGAAGGAATTCAACCCAAAACAGTTACTTGAATTAGTGAAAATAGCTGACATAGCAGCTACTCATATATCAGTCTCTTGATGGGACAGTAAATCTTTTCATCCACTCTTCCTTGCTTTCCTTTCCTCATTCCTCCTTACTCTCTTTTCTTCCCTTCCCTTTGCTCAGGAGACTAGAGGAAGGAGAGGAATCTCAGGCACAAGAACACACATGTGAACCTTACTGTACAATACATGCTACAATAGAATTTGCCTGCAGTGCAGAGGAAGCTGGAGGAGAAAACAGCTTTGTCATGGTGCCCTTGAAGGATTCTGCTAGAGTTAATAAAATTTCACAAGGATGGGGGTCTGTATCTTGGGTGGAACTTATTTCAGTGCCTTACTTATAAAAGGACTCAGCCATTTTGGTTGCTGGGACAGTGTGAAATCTAGGTATGTTAGCAAACCCTAGTGAACTTGCCAGCTGGAATATGAGGCAGAGGGTCCAGGTTTATGGTTCTAGCATCAGCTTTTATAAGCTGTGGGAACTTGAGCATTCACTCTGTCTCTCTGAACTTTATTGTCCTTATCTACCTAATGGAGATAACTATTAGGTCATTAAATCTGAAATGTCCAATTTCAAAACAAAAGTTTAGTCTGCTGTATCTAAAACAAGAAGCAGTATAATTAGTCATCGTATGTGCCTAATCTAGTTTTGCCATCTTAACAGTAACTTGTGTGTGCCAGTAGTGAAGAAGCCTGAAGAGCAACTGGCAAGGAATTCGTGAGAGGCAATTTTCCACAGCTTTTTGAGAGTTGAATATTTTTCCTTGCAAGAAGTGATCAAAAGCCTGAAAGAAGTGGTAGTCAGTTGGTGCAAGGTTTAGTGAATATGGTGGATGACAGACAGTTTTCTAAGGCTAACTTCTGTAATTTGAGCAGCGTTGTTTGTGCGACAATGTTGTCTTGCAGGAGGATTGGCCTGTCTCTGTTGACCATTCTTGGCTGCTTAATTGCAAGCATTCCTATCATTTCATCCACTGGGTTGCAGTAGACATCTGCTTAATGGATTGAGCAGGTTTTATGAAGCTGTAGTGCACAATATTGGCACTGGACCACCAGACAGACACTATCAGCTTTTTTTGATGAATATTTGGTTTTGGACTATGTTTAGGCACCTCATCTTTATCCAACCAGAGTTTGCAATCGTCAAAAAGAATCCATTTTTTTATCACATAAAACAAGATGGTGTAGAAATGGTTTGCCTTTGTATTATGATAACAAAGAAAAGTGTCGAGATTTCTACTCTGACACTTGTTTAATTCATATGGAACCTACCTATCCAACTTCTTTACCTTGCTGATTTTTTTCAAAATGATCCAATTCTGTTGAAATAGTCATCTTGCTGCTGATTCACAACGTAGGTTGAGATGGATTCTTTTCCAGTTTAGCTTTCAGCTCATCATAATCCAGCTTAGTCTCAGGTCGCATTCATTTTTAAGATTGAAGTCACCAGAATGGAAATTCTCAAGCATCATGTTCATGCATTCACCGCATCCTTCCCAGACACTTTGAGATATTTTGAGCTGTCTGCACTGTGTGGTTCTATAATGGAACTCAGATTAAAAAATACACGATTTTTTTACTTACCCATGATTTCACAAAAATTGCTGTAAAAAAATTTGAAGGATAATCACAAGCCAAAATAATGCATTTGAAAGAATGAGGCTGTACCTTCACCAAAAAAAAAAAAAAGTGTCCAAGTGAAACATTAGAGATACCAACTTTCAAACTAAGGAAATTAGACACTTCATACTTAATAACCTCTTATAAGCCTCAAGCAAATTAACCTATATTTAACCTATATTTGAACAATAATAATTATCAATAATAATCAAAGTGTTATTATCTATTAGTTCCTTTGAGCTTTACAATAAGTAAAATAAATTGAGTACTTACTCTTAGCAAATATGCATTACACTGTGGAGATAGATAGGAGGAGGAAAGGTCCAGTTTCTGTACTCAAGGGACTCTCAGTTTAGCAAGGGAATAGTAAGTAGTATTGCTCTCTCTAAGCAACGCAGGAGCATCAAAGGAACTCCATTTCTACTCTGAGTCTTCTTTCCTATTCAAGGAAGGAAATGGCAGTTACCTAGTCTTCCTTTAGCCCATATTAACTGAACTAGACTGAGCCTCAATTTTTTTTTTTTAAAAATCTTGGAAAAATTTATCCCAAGCAAATGTGGGTAGCCTGTGTGATAATAAGTGACCTGATATTCAGTGGCATGAGTATGGGTTCATAACCACACTGAAGTGACCATTCTCAAGTCTTCCACAGAGTTATCTCACTAAATATAATTGCTGCTTTCAGACATCATTTCTTTATTTATTGTGGCTGGAATTGTATATCTCAGCTGCCTGGGACATGATACAGTTTGTCTGTCCCTGTGAGCAGTGCCGTTGCTATGCATCAGAGAAGAAAAGAGGGGAAAACAGAAACAGTGTAAACACTTGACTATATGTTTACTTTTTTATTTTTCTAGTGAAAAGTGAATCTACCAAGAACCTTGGCGATGAAAATTGAGCACTTTTTCTGGAAGAAAGTAAAAGTTTCCAGACAGTCGCAAATGACTGTACCATTGATGGCTTGTTGGATGATGAGGGTATTGTCAACAGGTGGTTGGAATGCTTTATTTGTCTAAAAAGTAATTAAACAATCTAAACTTGTAAAAAATGTATTTTATAGGCTGTTGAATTAATTGACTTTTGTAAGACAAAGGCCCCTTACTCATGTTAGGAACTCTGGTGGAGTGCTTCCTAGGCCCTGGCTTTCACTGTGCTTCATTCCGTAGGCTGCCAACTTTGTCATTTTGAGGTAAGGCCAAACCTGAGGATCACCTGTGTCAACCACAAAGTTGGCATTCTGTGTAGCAGACCTCACTAAACAGAGAGGCCATGCAGTGTACTGTCAAGCCACAGGAGAACTCATCTTTCATCAGTTGCCCATTCTTGGCTTTGAGGTTTATATGTAACTTACCCCTTTTGAGACAACTTTGATACTTGGGAAGTTCCCAGTACAACATCTTGTACTGGGAGGGTGAATAAATATTATTAGCAACTGTTTTCTTATATTCAGCTCAGAAAATCAGTGACTGCACATTGTTTGAACCTTCAGTCTAAGGAATTTGGATCTACTTTACCATACAGTAAATGACGTCTTATGAATCCTGTGCCTTTCATCACATTCCCAGTCCATTTTTATCATTACCACACGGGGATGTGTGATGACCAGTTTTATACTGTGTTTTGATATGTCTAGCAATAACTAAAGAACAAAAATCTTGAAACTCTTCAGTGTGTTATTGACACGTATATGTATGTATTCGTGTGTATACGTGGCTTAATTTATACTTTATGGCAGCTCTGTATACATTATGATCTCATATAGTAAAGTTTCTTAATTATATTAGGATTTATATCATGAAAGTGCAATATAAAAGAGTAAAAAATTATTACATCCATATTGCATGTGTGTATTTAATGGTTAAAAACAATGATAAAACTGGATATTAATGAAATTATTTTTAGTGTGCAATTGCAATAAGTTTTAGAACAAAAAGAAAACAGAGACATCAGTTAAGAAATTAGAAAGATTAGAAAATACGAAAAGAGATTCAGATGATAAGCATAAGAGAAACTTGTAGATATAAGTAAATATAACTTCAGGTAGAAATTGGAGAAGAAAATCCAAAAACACTGATGCCAAAAAACTTGTTGGCATGAAAGTACGAGTAAGAAATGTGAGACATAGAAAATAAGGCCCTACAAGTTGGAATAAAAGAAAAAGCTTACACACATTACATAGGGTGCCAAAAATATGTATACCTATATCAAAAACGGAAAAATCAATTAAAATTGTATTACTGAAGTCATATCTGACTTCTGTAATTACAAGAGGTGCTCAAACATAACCTGTATTCATCTTTATTATCAGTATATATTGACTGTTCCAATTTTAACACAGGTTTTTCTTTCTTAAATTGTGCATACTTTGTTTTGGCACCCTCTGAATACATTATATGTGCACATACACTGCACATCCAAAAGCAACTTCAGGAATCTTCTCTGTTATGGGGAAGAATTAGTATAGAATTATCTTGTTTACAGTAGTAGAGAAGCAACTAAATGGAGTTTCAGGAAATTCAGTTTTAATCTACCAGTGAAGTGTCTCTTAAAACAGGAAAGAAAGACAATGAATTGAGTCAAAGATGTCATGGAATTGTTATTGGGAAAAGTGGAAAGCACCCAAAAAGTACATGTGATCTGAATATTAGAATGAAGAGGAATTTCCTCACAGTGAAATCTGTTATGATGTAGTCTTATTTCCAAGAAAAGTGTTGAGTTCCATCCCTCCTGGAATTTAAATTGAAAATGAGACTAAAACCAAACCATTTATCCTGTACTTATCCCTGCCCAGGAGAAAAAAGAAAGAAAAAAAAATCTACATGATCTAATGCATCTTTGCCATCTTTATTTTCTAGAATTCTATTAGATTTTTCAGTTTTAGGCTACTTCCCAAGAAAGAATGTAACAAAGTATAACCTAAATATAACCATCAGCTCATTTGATTAATGTGCACGTTTATACTCACAGGATTTATAGTAAACATGTGTTTTAGTGAATACCCATGTCAAAGGCGTGGAGGAGGTGAGATTGGAATAATTCACTGAGAGCCCTAGAAGTCTGTAGCATTAAGGCCCAGTTTCCTTTTAGAGGACCTCTCCATTTTGGATTCTTAACAAATTCTGATGAGTAAACCAATTCTTTTAAGAGAGTGACTATAATGAATATTTAGGATTCCAAACTGTAGCTGAGCCAGTTTGTTTTCCTGTAGCAAGTAGTGGGATTCAGGTTTCATGAGGCAAAATAAAAATGTTAAACACATAACTATAATGCCAACCATTTCCTTTATGTATTTTGTTTAAGTGGGTTGACGCATAATGTGTTTTGTATCTGATTGGCTATTATTGAACTCATATTACATCGTGTTGTACCTGATTTCATATTGCTAAATTTTACATAAAGGTGCTGATCTTCTTTTATGTAATCATATGCTAGCGGTTTGGATGTGTTTTGCCCCTACCAAAACTCAGTGTGGCAGTCTGGGGAAGAGGGGCCTAATGAGAGATGTTTGGGTCATGGGGGCAGATCTTGCATGAAGAGATTAATACTTCCCCACTAGGGTGAATGAATTCTTGCTCTCATGGGAATGCATTCGTTTCCTGGATAGTCTGGAGTCCTTGATTTTCTCTGTCTTGTCATGTGATGTCTTTGCACACTCCTGTTCCCCTTTTGCTTTCTGCCATAAGTAGAAGCAGCATGAGACCCCCACCAGATCCAGCTGCCCAAATTTGAACCTTCAAGCCACCAGAATTGTGAGCCAAGTAAGCCTCTCTGTACAAAATAACCACACTCAATTGCTCTGTTACGGTAACATAAAAGGGCATAAACTCCCAGCCCATTGTGTCTCTGTTGATTGAAGGCTGGCCCCTTCTCTATTCTTTCTTTCGCCTTTGACAAGCTACTACATTTCTCTGTTTCCAGTTTCATTTTCTTGCTGAGTGAAGTGCTAAAACTCCTTAGCCTGATACTTGGTGTCATCCATAACTTGGTCCTAGCCTATTTTATAGCTTGCCTACTTGCTCTGTCTTCTTTTCCCTTTTCTTCCATAACACAAAACAGCACAAAGGACCAATTTCATTCTTCTGAATGTGGATATCTAGTTTTCCCAGCAGTAATTAGTGAAGAAACTGTCCTTTCCTTATTGTGTCTCAGTAGCCTTGTTAAAGATAGTTGTCCATGTATGTGTGGGTTTATTTCTCAGCTACATTCTGTTCTATTGATGTGTGTTTGTTTTTATAGAATACAATGCTGTTTTGATTACTATAGCTTTTTAATATAGTTTGAAATCAAGAAGTGTGATGCTTCCACCTTTGTGCATTTTTCTCTAGATTGTTTAGACTATTTGGGATCTTTTGTGGTTCTATATGAATTTTAGAGTTGTTTTTTCTATTTCTGTGTAAAATGCAACTGGAATTTTGAAAGGGATTGCATTGAATCTGTAGCTTCCTTTGGGTAGGATGGTAATTTTAAAAATATTAATTCTAAGTATTTTACTGTTTTCAATGCTATTATATATGAATTATTTCTTTTTCAAATAGTTTATTTTTAGTGTATAGAAACAACTAATTTTTGTATGTTGATTTTGTATCTTGTAACTTTCCTGAATTGATTTTAATTTTAATAGTTTAATTGATCTTAATTTTAATAGTTTTGGGGTGGAGTCTTTGGGGGTACTTTTTTACTTCTTCCTTTCTGATTTGAATACATTTTTATTTTTTTCCCAAGTTGTTATGTTGAGCAGAATTGGTGAGAGTGGGCACCCTTGTCTTGCTTCCTTCTGAAAGCAGATTTCAGCTTTCCACTGTTGAGTATGATGTTACCTTTAGGCTTATCACATATGGCCTTAATTGTGTGGAGACATGTTTATTGTATACTTAATTTGTTGACAGTTTTTATCATGAAAGCATATTAAATTTTATCAGGTGCTTTTTCTGCACTTATGAGATGACTGTATGATTTTATCCTTCATTTTGTTAATGTGGTGCATCACATTCATTGCTTTGTTCATGTTGCACTGTCCTTGCATTCCAGGGCTAAATCCCCCTTGATAATGGTGTGTGATCCTTTTAATGTGCTGTTAAAGTCACTTTACTAGTATTTTATTGAGAATTTCTGCATAGAAGCTCAACAGGGATGTTGGCCTTTAATTTTCTTTTAGTGTTCTTAGCTAGCTTTGCTATCAGCATAATATCCTTCTTGTAAAATAAGCTTGGAAGTGTTTCCCTCTTTGGTTTTTTTGGAAGAGTTGTAGAAGAATTGGCATTAATTCTGTAAGTGTTTGGTAGAATTATCCTGTGAAGCCATCTGGTCCTGGGATTTTCTTTGTTGGAAAGTTTTTGATTATTGTTTCAGTCTCTTTAACTCGCAAAGGTCTGTTTATATTTTCTATTTTTTCATGATTCAGTCTCAATGGGTTAAGTTTCTAGAAATTTATCTATTCTAAGTTTTACAATTGTTCATAATTATTTTCATATGAACCTTTTTATTTCCGTGGTATTAGTTGTCATGTATTCTCTTTCATTTATAATTTTTGAGTCCTCTTTTATTCTTGGTTAGTCTAACTAAAGCTTTGTCAGTGTGTTTGTCTTATCAAAAAATAAAAAATAAAAACAACTTAGCTTTTTTGATTTTTTTTTCTCTTCTGTTTTCTGCTTTATTTCTGCTCTAATCCTTATTATTTCCTTCCATCTGCTAACTTTAGGCTGATTTTGTTCTTTTTCTAGTCCCCCAAGGTGTAAAGTTAAGTTGTTTGAGATCTTTTTCTTAACTGTAGGTGTTAATCAGGCTCAGCACCTGTAGCTCAGCCGCTAGGGTGCCAGCCACATACACCAGAGCTGGAGGGTTCAAACCCAGCCCTGGCCTGCCAAACAATGACAACTGCAACAACAACAGCAACAAAAATAGCCAGGTGCTGTGGCAGGCGCCTGTAGTCCCACCTACTTGGGAGGCTGAGGCAAGAGAATCGCTTAAGCCCAGGAGTCTGAGGTTGCTGTGAGGTGTGACGCCACACCAGTCTACTGAGGACAGCCACATAGTGAGACTCTGTCTCAAAAAAAAAAAAAAAAAAAAGTGTAGATGTTAATCACAATAAAGTTTTTTCTTAGAACTGATTTTCCTGCATCTCATAAATATTGGTATGTTGTGTTTACATTTTCCTTTTTCTCAAGATATTTCTTGTTTCCCCTTTTGATTTCTTCTTTGACCCACTGT